TGTGTGAGTTTCTCTCATAGACAGAATATACACAAGGTAATGGGGGAGAGGAAGCACAAGCAATTAGAAAGATCAGGGTGGGCCTTGAGTAGAAGAAAACGCTTGACCTGAGTCTGAAAACACCCAGATGTATACTATAATACACATTTCACAAAATGCAGACCAGTAAGCAACATATACCTGTGTCTGAGAGTGTTCTCAGTGCCATAAAAGCCACAGTGTATTTATAAACAAAAGAAAATATGTCAAGTGATATTTGACATCTTTGAAGCAACAGACCTAAAAGGATATGTAAGATATTCTAATGTTAATGTTATGACACAGCTGTAGACTTTCCATTCTTTCAGCTGTGATGTATAATTCAAAAGCACTTTACTAAATATTTAATATCTGCTGTGTGCAGACCCTTGTGCTGGGTGCTATAGTGTGAGTAATACATAGTCCCTGCCCTCATGGAACTGATAGTCTAATTGGAGATATGGTACATATACAAATAATTTAACTACTTAATAACATAAGAAAGTCAGTAAACATTTATTAGCACCTACTATGTGCTGGGGGAAGGATTAAGACATGAAAATAAAAAGCCCAACCCCAAACAGAGCATGAGAAATATATCAGCTATAAATATGGTGCTCTCTAAGAATGGGCTTCCAACAGTTAATTGTTAACAGCTTATAAACTTTGAAGGGAGAGCAAAGGACAATATATTTATATCCATTGATTTTTCTCTTGTTATAATCCATGATGCACAATGTTTTTCTTGCATAGTGAGCAAAAGCCATTTTCTTTTTCTAAATTTAGTATATAAATCTAAGTGCCAACCTTGTAATTGACTGGTACCTAGACATATGAGGGAAAAGAAAATAGAAGGAAAGAAGGAGAAAAATAAGAATGAGCATTATCAAGGAGGGAAGAAGACAAGCATTTTATTAAGCACCTACTATGTGTCAGGCATCATGCTAAGCATTTTACAGATATCTCATTTGAACCTCACAACAACGCTGGGAGGTAGGAGCTATTGATTATCCCCATTTTACTGTTGAGGAAATGAGGCAGACAGAGGTTAAATGACTTGCCCAGTATTTGGGCAAATTACTTAACTGAATTTGAACTCATCTTCCAGACTCCTGGCTTAGTGCTCTATGCACTGTACCACCTAGCTGCCTCAATGTCAATTATCAATGACAATAGTAAAGACGTTGTTAGCATAGCACCAGAGGACACTCTGTACTTTGTATAATGGGTCTTTCAGGCTAGGCCACTACAGATTCAAGGTACTTTGTAAGTCAGTAGTCACTCAAAACCATAGCTTATGAACCCCATCAATGTGTCTATCTTTATTAGTCAGTTATTGGACACAGTTCAAAGCAAAGACATTTAATGAAATAGTATAGTAATAAAAATAGCAATAAAACTTTCCCCCTAAAAACTTGAAGTGCATTAACCCCCAAATACATGTGTCATTAGAGGGAAGAGCGGATACATGTAGGGAGAACATGTAGAGGCATACATAAGGGATGTGTTATGAGGGAATATACACGTGAAAAGTTCATGCGATATGTAGGCAAGGTGACCATGCCCAAAACATAACGTGTGGAGCAGAAACTTATGCTTCTGATTATGTAGAGCCCCTGACATTTTTTTAAACACAACCTCACGTTGCTTTTATCAGGATTATTTGTCTCTGCTGGACCACTGCTGTTCTAGACATACGGTTTCTGCTGGCTTCTTGCAGGCAGGACGTGCTATTTATATGGCTGAGGACTCTCTCTTTGTTCCCACCTTTTAGATTCAGCAGAAGTCCTTGATTATAGCATTATCTTCTCCTCAAAACAAGAGTGGACTCTGCCATGATCTTTCAGTTTAAAGTCCTAAGACTTTTTATGTCACTTAGAAAAGTGATACAGCCCGTCATGGATCAGCAAAAGTTCTTCCTGGGTGCGTATGGGGTCGAGGAGGTAAGTGAGGATGCAAGCTTCTTTCTCCTTTCCCTTATGGTGTATTTCACGGTGTTGGCTGGAATTCTCTATATCTTCAGAAGGAGATTCTTTGTCCCAAGAACCAAGTTCAGAAGAATTTAAAACAAGACCACTCCTAGTTAAAAACCTAGTGCCCCTTAGGCTCAGATTTACTTTTTGAACTGAATTTCCTGGACACTGGTAGCCCTTGTAGGTGACCTAACCTCACTCTAGCTTATGGTAGAAATTCCACAGATCTTTTGATTTTAATCTATGATGGCTAAAGGGGCCATCTCCAGTCCATAATGTGTGGTACTGTGCCACAGGTATACAAATGAGGTTATGGGATTAGGCTAGAGGACTTATAAGGTTTCTTCCAGCTCCAAACTCATGAAACAATGAGATTTTGATCTATTGGTACTTCAACCTAAGGAAGTGCCTCTAATGTTTATAGGTTCAGTCACAGGGACAGACTGGTAGGGGAGCATCGGAATAACAGGAAGGCATTTTGGCACTGCATAGATTACTCTGTGTAAACCTTGCCCCTGGTGCCAGTTGATGCTGCCTGAGCATCTGCTCCAATATGTGACAAACAGTAGTGAGTTTTGTTAGGTGTGGACTTTGTGTGTGTGTGTGTGTGTGTGTGTGTGTGTGTGTGTGTAGGGTGGAATCACTAAGGGTCTGCAAGGTGGGAGTGCTGGGGAGAAGGGCTACAAAGTGAGGAATGAAACCTTGGGAATCATAAGTATCTCATGTCAGCACTGAGTATGTTGCTGGAGGGGCACAGGGTGGTGATGTCACTTCTATAGTTGGCTTCTCTTGGGTTCTCGTGGGAAAAGCCAAACACATCTGAGAAAGCATTAAGGTTTTCAAAGCCTCTGCCTTTATGCTGTCCTTAAGTGCAGGGAATAACTCTCTCATCACAGGAATGTGTTTTGGAAGAGTGGTATGTAAAAATGAATCCTTATAGATCAAATCATATTTTAAATGGGTACTTGAGTCAGACTGAATAATGAGGCAAAAACTAGAACCGCACCATACAAGTCATCTAAATAGACAGAAGCAAGATGTTATTTAAAATTTAACTGACAAACAGAAATTTGTCAGAAACAAGCCAAACTGTCTTCATCCCCTTCCAAAAAACCAAAATAAGTCAAACGAAACTGAATAAGTGTGTTTTGGAAGTAGCTGGATGGCACAGTGGAGAGAGTGCAGAAACTGGATTCAGGAAGATTAGAGTCCAAATCCAGCCCTAGACATTTACTAGCTATGTGATCCTGGGCAAGTCACTTAACTTGTCTGCCTCAGTTTCCTCATCTATAAAATAGGGATAATAATAGCACCTTCCTCTCATGGTTGTTGTGAGGATCAAATGAAATGGCTCATAAAGTGCTTTGTAAACCTTAAAGTACTATAGAAATGCATATTATTATCATTACGGTTTCTAAAACTTGATTTAGTCAGACCTCCACTAAAGTCCTCCTCTGGTGTCTTATCATGGCCTCATTCTGAGTTTCAAAATGCTATTCCAGTGAAGCACGAGCTTGTGCATTCTTCCAAGCCAGAAAAGCTTTTAGTGGGGGCTTAATGATGGACTGAGGGTCTCTAGTCTGAGGACCAGGACCAGCCTAGCTAAGTTTGGCCAGGGCTACCACCAGCTTGGCCACAGAGTGATGAAGCTTAAGGATACTGTCACTTACTAAGGTCATCTACTTGAGGTATTGAGGGACCATGATTTACAATTAGTGAAGGGAGCGAGTGCCCACGCTCACAAAATCTGGGAATATTTGGAGTAAGGGGTGTCCCAAGCTTAAAGCTACAAAAAGTAAGACTTTCGGATCACGCAATCAAAAGCCAGAACAAAACAAGAGCAACAAAACATTCTCTGAATCAAAATGACATTTCATTCCATTCAAATGCACTAGTGTGCATTTAAAGGAATGCTTTAAAGGAATCAGCTACTGAATCCTTTTCTAATTTTTTGTTTAGTAGATTCAGATTTGTCTACAAGATTTTCTTAGAGCAGAATACATGTGCTTTTATTATGACACAATGGGTTTCCCCTTTGCGATTAAACCAGCAAGTGTTCCCAATTGTAACCTTTTCTTCAAAAACATATTTATTAAGGAAACATCCTACATAGTGAAACATGTCAACTTTGTGAATTAGGAATAAATGGAAGCCCCCAAATGGCCAATACTAATGAAAACTCACTTAATTACTATGTTTTAGGAGCATAGATTTAGAGGGGATAGTATTATTTAATTCAATCTCCTCATCTTACAGTTAAGGAAACTGAGACCTAGAAAAGTCAAATGACTTTCCCAACATCTCAAAAGTAGTTTGGGGTTTTAACCCTGATTCTTTGATTCCATAGCTAGCATTCATTCCACTCTACCAGGGGTCCTTAACCCTTAAAGATCTGTAGATAGATTGTAATGATTCTGTGAACTTGGATGATTTAAAAAAATCTTTGTTTTGACTAACCTCTAAATGAAATTTAGCATTTTCTTCAACTAAGAATGTAGGCAACAAAAATGATTCTGATAAGGGGGCATTAATTTCAATATATTGTTAAAGGAGCTCATTAAAGAAAAAGTTAAGAACACTTGTGTGATCCTATGTTGCACTGGGAATGTTTCATCTCATTTCTTCGGTCTGGGCCCTTCTAATATTTCCCTAGACCTCTTATTGACTCTTTCTATTGTCTTCAGTTCTTCAGGCTCATGTTTACGTTGGGCACTTACTCCAATCTGCCTATAAAGTCAGGTCGAGAAACTTTCTATTTCTCACACTTTGAAATGCCTCCTTTAGACTGCACGAAAAGATACAGCATCAGCTGTGAGAAACAGGAGGCCAGAGAATTAACAGCTCAAGGTGTTTTCTTAGACACTTATGAACTGACATTTGAGCCCTGATTTTGGCATGGCCGAGCCTTTTAGAGGGAATGGAGTTACGAGTTGTGTCAAACTCTATATTTAGGAAGAACAACTGTAAGCAATGACAGGAATTCTCTCTTAACGCTTTACTTCCAAACAGAGTTCTACTCTAGCCTGGAGTGGCTCTCAGTGCCGGCTGGGACACAAAGCACTTGAGTTATTTCAGCCACATGAAGAGAACCAGAAACAGGATCACAGCTTACTGAAGACAGTATCTCCTTCCCAGCCTCCAGGAAGAATTACACTCGCTCACCTGACTGCTTGGATTTTTTTTTCTTATGCACTAAATAAATAAATAAACCAGGTAAGCTAAAGGAGTTGGCTGTGGAAACTGGGCTTTCTTCTAGGACGAATTCCTTCATAAATGACTCTGAAGTGCTTACTCCTTTCACAGTTTTGTCGCTGGTTGGCAGGGAACAAGGGCAGCTGATTTGTGAGTTGATCGTACATTGCAATGGCTTTTGATTTTTATTTTTTTAGTTTGTTTGGCTACAAGGGATGCTGAGCTTCTGAAAGCTCCTCTCTGACTCAGGGAAATAAACAAACAAACAAAACCAAAGTATTGGAATGAAATAAGTGTGACCTGAAAACGTGCTGTAAATTTGGGACGTATTAAAGTTGGCAAACCTGCAAACAGATTTGGGTCTCATTCCTAGGAGGCTATGATGCTTAATCGGGAGTGTGGTGGTTTGAGGAAACTTACAGCATTATTGCTTTTGTCTGACTACAATGCGAAATAATAGCCATGTGTTGTTACACCTTTTCAAGTTCAGAAGTGTTTTAAATGTTTTGCTTCCCCTTCTGAACGCCAGGCTGTGATTAAGTGGTATAGCTCCTGTCCAAATCTTCTACACACGAGTCAGTGCTCTGTAGCCATCTGTCCATGATCCTGTTGTGGTAATAGTGTGCATCTATATACAGTATGGGTAAGAGGGTAGCATTTACTGACTGTCCTTTTTTTTCTGTTGGTATCAAATTTATGAAACATGGAGAGGATAAGGGTATCTTTCCTCCCTCCCTCCCTCCCTCCCTTCCCTCCTTCCCTTAGCGTATTTAAGGCAAATTGAATAAGGAGTCAGTCAGTTCAGACAGCTGCACATCTTTCTACACCCTTCTCAGGAATTATATTTAACTGCCAGGCAGAAGATAATTCCCTGTGGGTTTTTAATTTGCCTCTATATTTGACCTTTTCATAAAAATCTCTGCAAACATTGGCTTATTTCTTTATGATTCCTTCCAATGTAATTAGCAACTATTCACCTGGATGATGTGATTTTACTAGGAAGTAAAGCAGTTTGATTTAAAAGTAGAATGTTCAATGCCTCCCACCTGAAACATGGGGCTTGCACTATTTTCAGTTAAATGACTAAGCGTAAAATCCATAAAAGGTTAATGCTAATGTGTGGAGTAGCCAACAGACAGACTTCATCTTTTCACCCTAAGTTGGGAAGGGTGTTTAGTTCAGTAAGTTGTTTCTGAAAGTCAAAAATCAATAGATGACTTTTTGGTCATATGGTTTCCAGATTTTAGCAGAATATCAAGAGCAAAGGGGATATAGTCGAATTCTGCTTCAAAGAACAGGATTCCAACTTGAGCTAAAGGGCTTTATAAGACCTTGGGATGTGGTATGAGTAAATCAGTCTGTGGTATAACTTTGGTAAATGGTTGGAAAACGTGGTAGAAAGATGAAGCAGCATTCAGTACAGTAATGGAGGTGAACCATGGGACAGGGAAGCAGCCAAAAAATATTGTCTATTTTTACTCATTGGTCTGCTTTTGCCCTGATTTCTCTGGAAGTAAATGAGGACAGCAGGAACAGCTGCTAAGAGATTTACACCAATGTGTCATTCGTATACCTTCTCTTAGGAGCTAGGGTTGGAATCTGACCAACTTCCTGTAGACATTCAATATAGCTCAGGTATGTGTGATACAGAGGTTTGTATGTAGTATGAATTGTGTAGGAGGCATGACTTCAGCTATATGTGTCTATAATGCTCAGAGATACACAGAAAGACAAGCTAAAACACTAGTGGATGTGGAAGATTTAGAAGATGTGTATTATAGACCAAAATATGGTATTAGTTTGGATAACATAACAAAAAAAATAGTAAAAATAGTTTCATGATTCTCCATGAACTGAACTTTTTCACTTTTTAAGCAGTTGGTGTAGGGTTAAATGAAATCATAGTGTTTGTTTGAATTAGAAGCAGGATTAAGGATCATCTAGTGCAACCATATTGCCTCATTTTACAAACGAGAAAATTGGGCATTGAAGTAACTCACCCAAGGCAGAACTGTAACTTAAATCCAGGTCCTCTGACACCATATCCAGTGGTCTTTTCTTTCTTACGTGCTTATCCTCATCTAGATATAAATTCATTGCATAACCGTGTGTATGTGTCTGTCTATCTATCTATCTATCTATCTATCTATCTATCTATCTATCTATCTATCTATCCTCTCTCTCTCTCTCTCTCTCTCTCTCTCTCTCTCTCTCTCTCTCTCTCTCCCTCCCTCTCCCTCCCTCTCTCTCTCTCTCTCTCTCTCTCTCTCTCTCTCTCTCTCTCTCTCTCTCTCTCTCTCTCTCTCTCTCTTCTCTCTCTCTATGTCTTTGTCTCTGTCTCTGTCTCTGTCTCTGTGTCTCTGTTTCTGTTTCTCTGTCTCTGGGTCTGTCTGTCTGTCTGTCTGTCTGTCTGAGGAAGAGCCCTCCTTTCTGGTGCAAATCTGTAAGTTCATCTCTGTGAGGAACTTCTTGTATGGAAGCATCTTCTGTTGATGTAGCTTGTCCATAACTGTGTCTGGGTTACAGAGAGGCTAAATGACTTGCCCATGCTCACACAGCTAGCATGCCAGAGTCAGGACTAGAATTTAGGTATTTTTCACTTTGTGCTCAGTCCTTGTAGTCTGAAAAGCAGCCTAATGAAATTTGGATAGGGCCATCACCAGCCTGAGCTGGGATAGAGTACCAGACCTGGAGTCAGGAAGACTCATCTTCCAGAATACTAATCCATCCTCAGAAATTTATTATCTGTGTGAACCTGGACAAGTCACTTAACCCTGTTTGCCTCAGATCCTCATCTGTAAAATGGTCTGGAGAAGAAAATGGCAAATCACCCCATTATCTCTAACAAGAAAACCCCAAATGGGGTCACAAAGAGTCTAATGTGACTGAAAATGATTGAATAACAACAAATCACCAGCTTGGCCACAGGGTAATGAAACCTTCGAATACAGCCACTTGTACAAAGATCATCTATTATACCATGCCTCATAACTTTATTCAAAGCTTAAACATTCACTATTAGTAATATAATAATAATAATAGCTGGGATCTGTATAGTGTTTTAGGGTTTACAAAGCACTTTACAAATATTATCTCATTTGATCCTCACCACAACTCTGGAAGGTAGGTGCTATTATTATCTCCATTTTACAGATAAGGAAACTGAGGCAGGTAGCGGTTAAATAACTTATACAAGGTCACACAGCTGGTAAGAATCAAAGGTGGGATTTGAACTCCAGTTCTAGTGCTCTATCCATTTTGCCACTTAGCTGCCTCTAATATTTTGTCTATGTTCTAATCTTGTTCTAAGATTATATATAATACTTTTGAATGTGCTTTTGGAATGTGGTCTTTTTAAAATTTGTTTAACTTCTAATTTTAACTAGAAATACAGAGCACCTTTTTCTGAATACATTTAAGATCCATTAGGGGATTGCGGATTTGTAGGACTTTAAATAGCTTTTGAGGATAGATGTATTAAAACATCACAGCACTATAGTTTTCCTTTGAGATTCCATTGTGTGTCCTAGATCCAATGATCAGTACCATTAAAAATGTAGATTCCTACTGTCTTCCCCACCAATCCCAGAAATTACTTTATATGTACTTCACATATATGTACATACATACAAATATATATGCATGTATGTATAATTATAAACTTTATATCTACTCAATACATCTCTATACATAGCTATCTATCTATCTATCTATCTATCTATCTATCTATCTATCTATCTATCACCTATCTATTTATCTATCTATCTATCTATCTATCTATCTACATATATACATACAAACCTATATTTGTATTTACTTATCTGTGTATGTGTTTCCCTTGTGAACTCCTTGGAGCCAGGGGCAATTTTATTTTTGACTTTGTATCCAAGCAGGGTGCTTAGCTCATGTAGTCACTTAATGAATACTTGTTGATTTAAATTCATATGAGAAAAGTAAAAGCGGTGGCATCCAGTCAAGCTATATGCAATATAGCAAACACGCTCTCATGTCTTCTATTTCATCATTACTTTTTTTTTTGGCAATTGGGGTTAAGTGACTTGCCCAGGGTCACACAGCTAGTAGGTGTCAAGTGTTTGGTCTGAGGTCGGATTTGAACTCAGGTCCTCCTGACTTCAGGGCCAATGCTTTATCCACTGAGCCACTTAGCTGCCCCTTCATCATTGCTTTTAAAATTTGGAGATGGGCTAATAGAAATAAAAAAAGGCAAACTATCAATTTGCTACTGCCCAAAGATGCACAAAGGAAGCTTGTATCTAGACAACACCAAGTTAGCCAACGGGAAAGTGAAAAGGGTCAATGGCTCATCTGTTTTGTCTTCATAACATCAGACACCTGCAGTTTTGAGGGCAAAAATGATTAACAGCGCTTCCTCTCTTGATTGCCTTGTTAGATGTATACACATGACAACATAAACATATTTCCCAGATCCTTTTCTCCTATATCTTACCTCCTACAATGTTCACAGATGCCAATATCCATGCTGTTAAGGTTATTCTGTTACTATGGACAAGACTGAAAAAATCACCCTGTGTTTGCATTTAAGATCACTTTGATTGTTATTAAGGCAGTGTCAACTTTGAGTGTTGTTAGGCAGTGAGACACTCTGAAGATGGACCCACCAGGGCACTGAAATTTTGACCTGCGGATAATTTTAACACATCAATTCCCTCTGAGGCAGCACAGCAACTATATACCAACTAATAGTTTAGCACCTAGTTAGCAAGTATAATTACTTTAAATTGGAATCCACCAGATCACATTATTAATAATATCTATCTATGGACCATCTTTACAAAGGCACATAATAATTTCCTCCTTCCACTCAATTGAATTTGTCTTACTTCTTTAAAATAAATTTTTTGATATCTTTGTTATTACATCACTCAGATTTTCCCCGGTATTGCTCCTTCCCCACCCGCATCAACGTTGTAACAAAGATTTTTTTAAAGACAAAGAGAAGAGAAAAAAATTTAATTAATCAATACATAAAAACCCCCAAA